ATTTCACACTTTTATTGGGCAGATCGACCCTGAGTCAGCGTGGGAAGTTTGTGCTACGAGACTTGTCCACCATGCTACATAGTATTAAGAGTAGGAGCCGAAAAATTCCGAAGAAAAATAAAATACTGAAATACGAGCAAGGTTGCGACAAAAATTTGACGAAATCTCCGATAAATTCTGAAGGGAAAATATCAATCGACTCTTAAATAAGGATCGACTACAAACACTAGGATATAATACGTAGTATGGGATAATATAGGCATTTATTTGGAAATAAAAGTAAAAAAATAAAATAAAATAAAAATCAGTGCAGAGATAGAATATATATATATATTGAAGGCAAGTTGATGAACCTAAATGTATGGAGTAAGAGCAAATGTGACTTCAGGCTTATTTATTATCAGCTCGTTTATGCAGTATAGCTATTATTGTAATTATTATAAATCCAAATATGGCCGTTATTATAATTTGGGAATTGTCATATATAAATATAAGTTACGATTTCATAACATCTAAAATCTTCATTAATGACTGCATTCAATATTCTTCTAGCTACATTAATACACTCTTTATAACCCACCTTTCTATAACGAACTCTGGATATAACGACGTAATTAACTATAATTTTTAAAATTTATAATTAGTTTAGCAGTTAGTATTAAAAAATTATTGTTTCTGAGAAACAATAATTTTACATAGTAAATTTTTTTTATATCCAGAACTATTAGTTCGTTATAGAGAGTGTTAATTATAAATCATTTTTAAAAAATGATTAAAATCTTGCTAGAAAACGTATATGTTCAATCATTAATCATAGGATTGATTTTAACATTAGCCTATTTCCAACTAACGAAGAAACGACTAGTAGGTTTTTTTTTTTTATATATATTAATATTTATCAAAATTGTCACTAAAGTAAAAGCCATTTTCTTAGAATGAGCCACCCATTGTTTACTATCGATATCCAATTATCGGCCATACATTTGAGTTTATAACGAATTGCGGAAAGTTATTTGCAGAATCTCGTGAAAAGGTTTACTTTTTTTTCTCTAAAAATATATATACTCCTCTCCTTACACTCTATTATAATAATTTATAATTTTTAAATAGCATGGCGATATATTTTCATTATATGTATTCGGCGAATTAGTGACTGTAGCTGGAAATGATTTAGTTCACGAAGTATACAAAAACGAAGGTCTTGAATTTAATTTTCTGGAAAGCCATGAAGTGGTTAGTAATTGATAATTTATAATGAATGTAGCAAATTTTATAATTTTATATATTTTAACCCATTTTTTTTAACTTGAAAATAGCAAGTAGTGACAAGATATGTGTTTTCCTACGCTGCATTCGATTTCAATAAAAGTCTTAAACTGTTGAGAGAGTTTTTTAAATTAAAATTAGCCAATAACACGAGAAATATACATCAAGGCATTATTGAAAGCATGAATTTTTGTGTTGGTGAATGTGTTGGTAAGCTCATAAGCATTTAATAATGAATTATTCTTAAGAATGTTCATAAAGTTTAATTATATGTTAAATTACTATAGAACCAAAGCTTATTAAAGACCCAAGTGAACTTTTATTAAACATTTATTTACGAACATCAGCAAGTATTATTATTGGAGAAGTATGTATTATTTTCATATTATTATTTTTTTATGTAAAATTATTTTTTCATTACGTATTAACTTAATTAATTCCTATAAAAAAAAAATTAGGAAAGTGCTAAATCTGAGGCCATTTTAGAAATCTTTAGAGACTTATATTATCAAGTTATAAAACTTATAGCGGCGCCGAAATTCTTATCCTTCATACATCCGGGGCTTGATAAAACAGTATCGACGTAAGTTTTTAAATCTCATTGCTGCATTGATAAATCTTAATATTCAACTACTTATGTCAAAGGCTTGCATGAGCCTGATAAAATGATTTTTTTTGTTTTTGCTAATAATACTGGTCCATAATTTAAAATATAAAATACTTTTGATAGACTCTTTATGATTATTATGATTATTACTTTTCATTTGAAGGAACAGTTTATTTTTTGAAATGTATACTAATATATTCTTTACATAAAACTTAATTTTTTGATCATAGATTTTTCTTAAGATTTATTTCAAATCACAGAAGTAAAATTATTAAACATATTAGACCAGTTGTTGAAAGACGTCTTCTTTATAAAAAGAAACTAGGTGATAGATGGGATGCACCTGTAAGTTATTTATAAAAGAAAATTTTATAAATACAATATTATTCTACGTGTAATTATTGTCCGGAACGAAGCGGAGGACACTTTGTTTTTACGACAGCAAGTGATCATCTAGATCATGTGAGAATTCTGTCCGTCCGTTTCCGTGATGCTGATTGGTAGAATATATACGTATATAAATTTTTTTATTTATGCTTCGGACTTATATTGGTTTCCAGTTACTAGCATTTAAATTATTTTTATTTTAATATAACTTTGTTTAAAAAATACTGTAGGTGGATGCTCTACAAACTTTCCTAGACAATCCTGAAATAGCTCCAGATTTTGATCCAAATCATGTAAATTATAACATAATTGTTGACATAATTGGTGTATATATATTTGCTTCTATGGCAAATACATCCATTGCACCTACTTATGCTTTAGTTGGTTAGTATGTTTTATTATTCTGCATTATAAAGTAATTATATTTTAAATTAATTATACTTTAAATATGTTTTATTTGAAAATTAGAGTTGGCAAAAAGAAAGAAAGATTATTGGCAAGAGTTACATCAAGAAGCTCAGGAAGTTAATAAACAGAGTAATGGCAAACCTACATATAATGATTTTAAAAATATGGTCAAATTAGAAAACTTTATTAAAGAATCTTTAAGAATAAATTCTAATGTGTCTAATGTGCCACGTCCTTGTGTTAATGAAACTTATACATTCACGAATGGATATCAAATTCCGCAGGGTAATCTTTTGGTATTATATTTTTTTAACCTTTAAACTAAACAATAATAGTGCTGAAAATTAACTAAAGCTAGGACAAACCTAATAATTAGTTAATTTATCAGTTAGTTTCAGTACCAGCTATATAGTGATTTTTAAGTGGTCCACAGGAAACTATTCGGGCCAATTCTGGACTAGTGTTTCGGGCGAAATTATTTTCCAAATCCGAAATATTTCGGCCAGAAGAATTTTAATTTCGCCCTATAAGTCCGAAACCCTCCGAAATTAGTTTCGCCCAATTTGATCTGCAAATGAT